ACACTCTCAAGGCGGTGTTAACGGCGAATCTGGATTTTATCTGAACATTACGTCCAAATGATGTGTTTGTTGTAATTCATTATTAAATTCGCCTTGGACACACTCTTGAAACTGATACTGAATTATTTAAATGTATACAAATTATTACTAATAAAATGAAATAAATCATTATTTAATATTTCCGGATTTATTGGATATTGAAAAATAAATATATGTACTTAGGTAAGTTTTAATTTTGCGAGTGCATAACCTGGCGGGTGCACATTTGCTGGCCGCGTGTGAAGGGCGGAGCGCGGGGGCCGGCGCAGCGCGGCGCGGCTGGACGCGAAGGAGAGTAATTGCATGTTTAAGGTGACGTTGTAGTTCAAGGCGGTTTAGTAGTTTTGTTGCGAACTTTTTCCATTCAAATAAAAGAAACATAAAAATTTGAAGGCGAAATAAAGCCATATGGCTTAATTACCAATTGTAATTGAAAATAAAGCCATATCGAATTTATGGCCTTATTACCAAAAAAATATGGCTTTATTTCCAATATGGCTTTATTGCGTATGGCCTTTTGCACCCCACCACTTATATATAATAATATGTATATATAATACAATACGACCTGTGCAACCAACATTGACAGGATCCAAAGATTCCAATCTAAAACGCTAAGGGCCTTAACGGGAGCACCGTGGTATATCCGCAATGAAAATATACATAGGGACCTTGGTATACCGATGGTTAAATCTGCAATCGACAGCAGCAGAGAAGAATATAAAATAAAACTGCGTAACAACCCAAATCCACTGGCAAGTCATGATGCAATAATACAAGGTGGTATCAGTTGTGACAGCTCGATTTGACACTATCTTTGCTCAGTAGAATAAGACGTAAAACGGGAAGAAATTAATCCCCATTGGGGGGAAAAATATCAAATTTCATATTTTCTTCTAAACAAAATTTGCTTTTTTATAGTATATTCGTAATGAAATGAAATAAACTAAGATAAAATACCTTTTCGAGAAAACAAAATGTGTATACTGAGAAAAAATAAAAAAAGTTCAACTGTATTATTGGGCAAAGAATTGTTAAAGAAGTAACACTGTTTTACCTAAGGCCGCCAATATGGCGGAATCAGAGCCGATGACACCTTGTATTAATGCATCATGCTGGTAAGTGGCCTGTGCAACACAAGAAATATAACACGCCTGCGAAGAAGAGATCTACCCCAGAATGATAGAATACAAGATTGCGCCGATTGCAGCAGAATTCGTGAGAGTAATTTTGGCGTGACGTCATCGTAGAGTTGACAAATGAGAGCGGAAAATAAAACTGCTCTCTAGTGATGTGCTGAATTGTTGGCACCCAATACTTCCTCTTCGGTACCCGTTACCGATTCTTTATATCAATCCTTCGCCATTATATGCTTTTCAAGTTTAGAAAAAACTTTCATTACTAATTTATATCGTCGTTTAAAGTGCAAAACCGCGTATCAACTAAATGCAAAACCGCGTATCAGCAAAAATGCAAAACCGCATAATTGAACTTGTAGAAATTATTTTCTAGAGCGTAAAACACTCATATTTCAAAATGGTTCTCTTTTTATAAAGCAATCGCATTTCTGGCTAGTATATTTCAAGGAGGAATGGATAAGGATTGAGCAAAGAGCTTGTGTGAGCAAATCCAATTTTTGGCAGCCAATGTCAGTTACGCGGTTTTGCAGAATTACGATACGCGGTTTTGTACTTTAAACGACGATATGATATCGGCTAAAAAACTTGAACTTATCGTAACGGAGAAATATTATTTTATCAGTTTTAGCCTTAGTCGATCCAAGGTTCAAGAAAAATGCTTTGACGAATCAAGAAGCCTTTCAGGGGGGAGATTCTGTAACTAATAAGCGACAAGTTTCGAATCGGTATCGCACTTGTTGACGTAAAAATATTTCATATCATACGTCAACAAAACCGATACCGATTCGAAAATTGTCGCTAACTGGTTACAGAATCTGCACCCAGGCCTCCAAAAATGATATCGTCCGATTCGGCTAGAACAAAAATGCTTCAAACAAGTATTATGGCCTTGAACCGACATATATCGAGTGCTTATATTCAATACCCTCTATCTGCAATTTTGATCTAAATGAGTTTTTGATGGTAACGTGAGCTCCGATTAGTTTTTCATTCATGACAATATTGTCAAACTTAAAATATAGCTTTAATGGTATTATATTCTCATGTTGAAAATTCCACTATCTGCAATAGCATTTTGTTATAAGAGCAAAATCCTCTATCTACATAATTTAGCTGGGAAATTGTTTTTATTAACATTTTTTGTGGCAGGTAAGTTACATGTGCCTATGTATGTATATGTTACCGGTAAAATCCGATCTTAGGTCAAACTAGTTTTGCCCAGGCTAAACTTGTTTTGCACAGACTAAACTAGTTCTACCTAATTCGGTATATCTGTCCAACCGAAACCAAATTTGGTACAACAAAAAAAATCTTTCATATCCCGTCAAACATAGACTCATTAAACTCCATTACTCCATCCTATCTCAAGGGTCACCAAGAGTGAAAAACTGCTATTATTATTCCTATTGCCAAACTAAATATAAAAAACTCATTAGTTTCTAACTACAGACCCATTTCCCAACCCAATTGGTCCAAATCTTTAGGAGCTAAGATTTCGGTTTTTTTTACATATGCAGAAAACACAAATGTATACATCCAACCCTCTTCGTGTATGACACCCCTATCCACTATGGCACATTGAAAATATTGGGAATAATTTTTGACAATAAACTTACTTTTAAGCAGCACTGTCATAATGTAAGATCAAGCTTACTTGCTAGACTAAATATTATAAAGTTTTTATCATCCAAGTATTCTTTAGTTCATATAACTACGATGGTAAATGTAATAAGGACTTTTATATTAGGAAAAATTGACTTTGGACTCGTAATTTACGGACACTGTGCAAAAAGCATCTTAAATTGCTAGAAACACCATGCCATGCAGCAATCAGAAAAACCGTAACCATGAGGCAAGGAATAACACAAAGATACTCATCCCAAAGATTGCGCAAAAATGAGAACTTAGGCCCCTATTATGAGTTGCATTCGATTTTCGACTGTGGTCGAAAGTGCTGAGCGAACGAATTTTCATTTAGTATTATGGCGCTCATTCGATGAAGAATAGCGCTATTGTGAATTTCGCTCGTTTAGGTTGTTCACAATAGTATATTTTTGACAGCTGAGATGCTTTGTTTACATATTAAGCAAACTAAAAGAAAAGAAAGCGTGTTTATTACAACGTTTTATGTAAATTTGTGTTAATTAAAATTAAGTAAAAAATAAAGCGGGCTGATAAGAACTTTGTGAAGATGAGTACAACGGAGTTTTGGTTCGATGATTCCTCAGAGGATGAGAGTTTAGTGGAACTGGCCAGGAATAGAAAACGTTTAAGGGACGCTTCCAATCCCTTAGAAATGGATTCAACCGCGTAAGTCTAGCCTTTTGGATATATTTTCACATATTTATATAATATTTATGATTATTTGTCTACAGATTTATAAAAAACTTCCGACTGTCTAAAGAGGCGTTTGTGGACCTGCTGTCCGCTACAGAAGACCTGCTGCAGCAATGCACTCGAGCCAAATCTATTGCAAATATCTTAAAACTAGCAACAGTTCTGCGATTTTGTGCTCAGGGATCGTACCAACTGAGTATTGGGAATGAAAATATGCTTGGGCTTGCGCAGCCCACGGTGTCTGTGGTGATATCAGAAGTGCTTGATGTTTTGGAAAATTTCATTTGCCAAAGATGGATAAAATTCATCTACACAGGGGTTGAACTGCAACAAGCGAAAGCACATTTTTACAGCAAAAGCAGAATTCCAGGAATAATCGGCTGTGTTGATGGGACGCACATTAAAATTGTCGCTCCCAAGAAGGAATTCCAGCGTTTATATTACAACAGAAAAGGATTCTTCAGCATTAATGCTATGGTTGTAAGTATATATATTTTCGTACATACATTAGAGATTCTTACTAATTGTAGATGTGTACACTTTTGTACTTTTTTAGGTTTGTGATCACACAATGAAAATAAGATACATAAATGCAAAAAATCCGGGAGCGACACATGATTCCATGGTTTTTCATATGTCATCATTGAAAGCACACTTAGAACAGCAACATTATAATGGTATTCGTAATACTTGGCTACTGGGTATGATCAAATA